AGGTAATCAACAACAACATAGAGGCAGTGGTCCTTTTTCCCTTTTATATTTGAAATGTGACAGTGAAATTACTACATTTGTGACTCATCAATTCTCTTCAAGCTAAATAATGCCAGTTGTTCTCTTTTTCTTTTAAAAACTTAAATATATGTATCTAGCTTAAACATTTGAATTGTGACCTTTGCACTGTGGTGCTAGAGAAAAGTTTTGAACGTGCTATGGACCACCAAGGAGTGGGTGAAACCAAGTTTCTCTCTGGAGGTTAGGATTTTGAAGCTCCGTCTCACATACTTTGGGCATGCGGCCAGAAAGGACCAGTCCTTAGAGAAGGACATCATGCTTGGAAGGGTGGAGGAACAGTGCAGGAGAGGGAGACCCCAGATGAGATGGATTGATATAGTAACTGGAACAATGAGAGTTGGTGTGTCAGAATTAGTGAGACTGGCTCAGGACAGGGAAGGGTTCAGTGTTGCTAAATGTAGGGCCACTAGGGGTCTCAGGCAACTTGATGGCATATAATAATCTTATGATGTCTCCGAGGTTCACTTCCCTTTCTGTAGTTCTCATCAAACATGAATTCTGAAGTTTCTACAAAGGAGCCTGCTGTCTACTGACTTCTCCAGTGTTCACTTAGGGTGGGAATCTTTCCATTTTCATAACCAGCACTTAGAAGACGTACCGTATGAATAAGAGCCAATAGTGGCAGGAGGAGAAGTTCAAGTAAAAAAACAAGACCTTAGATACAAATGGGATCTCAATTCACATGTTTCAACTACCAGATACAGCCCTGGACACACCAGTTTATGCCAGGAAATTTGGAGGACAATTGCCTGCCTGATCAACTGAAAGAGATTCATATTTGCTCTCATTACCAAGAATAGTGATCCAACACAATGCGGAAATTATCTAACAATATCATTGCTATCACATGCAAGCAAAATATTTCTGAAAATCATACAAAAATACCTGCAAGCATATATTGTCAAGGAACTTCCAGAAGTTCAAGCTGAGTTTAGAAGAGGCCATGGCACTAAGAATGTCATTGCTGATATCAGATGGATCCTCATTGAGTGCAAAGAATACAAAAGGATGTCTAGTTGTGTTTTATTGACTGTGCAAAGGCATTTGTCTGAGTAAACCACAAAAAACTAAGGCTAACACTGAGGAGAATAGAAATCCCAGAACAAGTAATTATGCTCATACAAAATATATACCTAGACCAAAAAGATTTTGCCCAAACAGAACAAGGGAGCATGCCATGGCTTAAATTAGGAAGTATTCACATCAGGATTGTATCCTTTCTCTGTACCTATTCAATCTGTTTATTGACCAAATTATTCATGAAGTTGAACTCAATGAAGAGGAATGTGACATAAGAATCAGGGGAAGACTCATCGACAATCTCTACTACGCAGATGGACCAACCTTGCGTATTGAAAGTGAGGAAGACCTAAAACACTTGCTTCAGATCAAAGACTGCTACCTTCAATATGGATTACATCTAAAAATCAAGAAAACAAAGGCTCTTACCACTGACTGAATAAGCAACATCATGATAGACAGAGAAAGGATTGAAACCGTCAATGATTTCATCTTCCATGGATCCACAATCAACACCCGTGGTATTAGCAGTCAGGAGATCAGGAGCCTCATTGGTTTGGGCAAGTTCTCTATCAAGGACCTCTCAAAAATACTCAAGAGCTATGAGGTTAGTTTGAAGACTAAGATGCGCCTGATTAAATCACTTTTTATGCATCTGAGAAGTGGGCTATGAATAAAGATGACAGGAGAAGAATTGATGCCTTTAAATTGTGTTGTTGGAGAAAAGCAACAAATATCCCATGTTGTTGTTGTTGTTGTTGTTGTTGTTGTTAGGTGCCGTCGAGTCGCCTGCGACTCATAGCGACCCTATGTACAACAACCCTAAACTCCACTCTGTCCTGTGCCAATCGCACTGTCTCCGACACTCCCATCCCAATTATCCCAGTCACTGAATCAATCCACCTCATAGAGGGCCTTCCTCTCCTGCGCCGTCCCCCCACCCTCCCAAGCATGATGTCCCTCTCTAAGGACCGGTCTCTCCTCACAACATGTCCAAAGTATGTTAGACGGAGCCTCAGAATCCTTGCCTCCAAGGAGCCACCCGGTTTAACCCTTTCCATGACAAATTTGCTTGTTTTCCTAGCAGTCCATGGTATTCTCAGTACTCTACTCCAGCACCACATCTCAAAGGCATAAATTCTCTTTCTATCCTCCCTTGTCATTGTCCAACTCTCTGATGCATAACAAGTGATTGCGAAGACCATGGCCTGTATCAGACGCACCTTAGTCTCCAGAGAGACACCATTGCTCTTCAGTACTTTGGAGAGGTCCCTAACAGCAGACTTACCCATGGCAATGCACCTTTTAATTTCCTGGCTGCTGGTGCCAAGACTGTTGACTATGGAGCCAAGCAAACTAAAGCTGTGTACAATCTCATGGATTGTGAAAAAAACAAAAAACCTGAACAGAGATGTCTTGGAAAAGTGCAGCCACAGTGTTCCTTAGCGGAAAGGATAGTGAGACTTTGGTTTACATATTTTAGACATGTTGCTAGGAGTGGCCATTCATTAGAAAGGGATAGCATGCTTGAAAAGGTGGAGGGTCTGCGAAGGAAGACTCCCAAGGAGGTGGAACGACACAGTAACTACAGCAATGAACTCAAGTGTGTCAGAGATGACGAGCATGGCATAGGCTAGGCAGGATCTAGGTCTGGTGTTCATAGAATCAAGATCAGTACCTAACAACAACTGTATCACTTCAGAGTTTTGGTGGCCTACTTGTAAGAAGTTGTGCTCAAAGGCACATGTTTCAAATTCACCACGTGCTCTGTGATTTACTGCCTCTGAAAATCTGCAGGAGGGTCAGCTACGGGTCAGTTCCGACTCCAGGGAAAACAACAACCCGACTCCAGGGCAAACAATGATGACCATGCTTTGAAATTGACTCTTCCTCACTGATAACAGAACATGACCTAACAGATTTATGTTCTCCATTTATCCTTCATCTCATCATCTCTTGCCCCAACTATCAAATATGCAAAACAAATTCGTTTAAACCAAGGCTAAATCAAGCCTGAGGTCACAGAACGTGCTTTTTCAGAGACACTTCTGAAATGAGTATTACACAAGCAAGCTGTTCTAAAGTCAATCAGAGTTAATCTAAAGTCATGTTATTTTTATCAGACTTGTAAATACAGAGTCACTTTGTAGACAACACAGTTATGAAGGTAGAATTGGAAAAACATTATTTAAGTTTACTTGTATAACAAATGATTATTGAGTTCAATTCAAGATACTATGGGAATAAATTCCATTAACTCAATGACATCAAGTGAGAACAGATGCATAGCTGACCCTCCCCCAGGTTCTCTAAGGCTGTAAATCTCAAGGAAGGAAATTGCCCATCCTTCTCCTACAGAACCACTGGTGGGTTTAAACTGCCAGAGAGGTTTTGCTTTTAGATTAACAAGGACCACGTCACTAGAGTTCCCTACTGTGGTTACAGGGATTTTTTTTAAAGAATAATAATTTTCCTTTTTTTTAGAATACTGGAGTTCATAGGGTCACTATGAGTCGTTACTACTCGAAGGTTCTTAACAACAAAAACAATAACATAGAGAGAGCTCTGTTAGTATAGTGGATAAAAAGTATGTGGCCCTCAGGCCTGGTTTTATTGGGGGGGGTTGTCAAACATTCTTCTAAGTTGCATAGCACTGGTTTGTCCATTTACTGTACAGAGGAAACTCATGGTTGCTGTGCTGCTAACCACTGTGACACTGATTTGTCAAATGCAATAATGGTTACCCAGGGTGGACAGTGGTGGAGCTCATCAATTAAAACAAGCTTGGAAGTAAGAGTGGCATCCACTTCCATAATAGCTTGCCTCCAGCAACTCCATGAACTTGAGAAATGATGACAGTTATACAAATGTTTAGGTCTTTCATTCAGAGTCGCTATGAGTTATCGAATGGCACTTAACAACAACAAACAACAGTAGCAAGACAGTGGTGAAAAGAATTACTTCAGCGTTTGGTACAAGGGTGCAATTGAGATGGATCTGAAGGTAACTTTTCTTACCTACTTTGAAGGTAAGAAAAAGACCGGAATGAAAATTTACCAAATAAATACAGTAGTATAGAGTTTGCTGCTGCTGTTGTTGTTGTTGTTGTTAGGTGCCGTCGAGTCATAGACAACAGGAAAATATTAACAATACTCAATGATTACTGAACTTTCAAAATTAATATAATTTTCTTAAAACATAGATATTAGTTTCTCATCTTTGAACCACTTTCAGTATAAAAATTGGGCCAGAATGCCTGGAAATACCATTTAGAAGACATGAATCAGAAAACGTAATTAATGTATCAGCAACTATTTATTGAATACCTTCTGACTTCTAATTATTTATTACCTTGTATGTTCAAACAGACTCAGATTTTAAGATGCATGAAAAAATATCATTTCTTTCCCAAAGGTAGAAGTTGCCAAGACCAGCTAGTTCTCAGTTATTAGAAATAAAGCAAAGTGAAAAATTATTTCCAAATGGGGAAAGGTACATTTTTCATTGTTTATAGCTTAAAAACAGCTAACAGAAGTGTTACCTTTGGATTAATTACAAAGGATAAAAATCCATGCTCTGGAAAGTAATATCTTCAAAGAGACCGAGGTGATCAAAAGTAGTGTTTAATAAAAAAAAAATAATAACTACTATATTAAAGTGGGGGGTTATCATAGCAATCAGAGTTAATTTAGCTCAAACAAGGTCAGCAAGCACAGAACACAAAAGGAACGAGGAAGAGCAGGTTTTGAAATTCTAAAACAAAGCAAATTTTTTAGTCATTCATTTAATTTAAAATTTCACTTATTACAGGTTTTATTAGTTGTCCATATTTTTTCTATTCCAAATAGTACAAACTAACCTATTTTTCAGTTGTAATAGAATATTGACTCTGTACTTACTAATGGTGGAAAAATCTGAATGATATTCCCAGCTATGTCCAGGATTTTTAGATTTGTAAGATGACAAATTCCCTGTGTCAGAAAGCAAAAAGACATAGACATATTTCAAAAAATTTAATACTTGGAATTATGTTTCTTTTAAATTTAAACTTGATGGAATTTACCATATATTTTAATTACCTGATCAACTTGATTACATCTTCCAACAACAATCACTATTGTCTTAGATGCTTCGAGTTCTATCTACATATCTTCTGACCACTCCACAGTAACAAAACATCATACCTAACAGACTTCTGATGTAACTTCTTGTTGTTAGGTGCCATCAAGTTGAGTACAAGTTATAGTAACCCTACGAACAATAGACATGAACCCTTCCCTATCCAGTTCTATCTTCCTTCCCTCTAATTCACTTGAAACCATTGCTGTAGTCACCAATTCAATTCATCTCATTGGGGTCTTCCTCTCCTTGGCTGACTCTCCACCTTTCCAAGCACGATATCCCCAAGTTAATTATGGTAAATCTCTTTATTGTTTTGTACTTCAGTTTCCCCATTTGTAAAATGGCAATATTAATATAAGCACCTGCTTCATCACTTTGTTGAATAGTTGTTGATGCTATTAATTTAAAAGTACCAACTAAGAGTTAATAATGAACACTCAATAAACATTTACTAAAATATAAAGAAATTTGGAGAAACAGAAAACATAAGTAACCCTGGAAATCTGTCTCTGTTGACAATTTCACTAGCATTTATTATTAATTTCTTGTGCTTAAAAAATGAGTTAGACAATGGGATACTACACAGCATGCAGGAGCAATCATTTTGTAAATTACTATCTGACTTTGGAGGAACTGGAGAGCATTATGCTGAGTGAAATAACTCAGTCCCACAAGGACAAATACTGTATAAAACCATTATTATAGTATGAGGATCCAAGGTGGAAAGAAGGTGGAAATAGAGGGTGAGGATGGGAGGAGGGCTAGGTTGTTAATCATAGGGCTGCACAATTTGATGAGTGGGTGGGGTGAAGGAAATGTGAAGGATCTTTTGTGAAAAACAACATATTCAAACTTTGTAAATAAATCAGAGTAATATAAAAAAATTTAAATTTAAAAAAAAAACAACCCAGGTTTAGAGAAGCTGTGGTATATTCGCACAATGGAATACTATGCTGCGTTGAAAAACAAGGAACTCATGCAATATTATTCAAAATGGGTGAACCTGGAGGACATTATGCTGAGTGAGGTATCTCAGTCACAAAGGGACAAATGCTATATGGTGCCACTGTTGTAGAATGAGGCTGGCATT